AGAGAGAGAGAGAAAGAGAGAGAGAGAGAGAGAGAGAGAGAGAGAGAGAGAGAGAGAGAAAGAGAGGGCCAGAACGAGCTTGTCATCCACATACGCACACAAGCGTCGAAGAGTCACCAAAAAAGACAACGTACCCTATCGCTTGACCCCTGGAAACGCGAGAACGTTTTGCAAAACAAAGACACTGCAGTCGAGGAAGTCAAGCCCCAAGCCGGCAGTTGCACAACGATAGTACCGAATGTGGTACCCGTTTCATGACGCGCAATCGGAGGCCTGCAACCAAGATCGCCGCGTGCGATGCGACATGATCCATGGTAAAACCCCATGACATTTTTCCAAGGAAAACTCCATGCATTAAGCACGTCGACGACACAAGGAGCACGCCCTAACCTCCAAAACGGGAGATAAAACCACCGCACCCAACGTGAACAGGGCGAGACAAGTTTCACAGACTCCGAGGACCTCCCCCCTCCCCCCTCTGCCCCCCCCTCTGTGCCAGCTTATAAAAGGTACGGTCTACCACATACCATTTTCTCATTTGGGGCTCGACACACAGTGAAACAGGGAAACGGACATCCCCACGGGGGGCCTTCGCACGACACTTTTCCGCCACAAAGAAACCAAACAAGCCCACTATCCAGCCGTTTTTTTCCCCGTTCACTGCAAAGACTTGAACACACCCCCTTCCACTGCGGAATGACATCTCAAAAGGGAGGCCTTTCTTTGAATGGATGCGCATGTTCTAAAGAGAAAACCACATGCCGGGCCCTTCCTTCTGTGTAAATAGGCGTTTACCTCTGGTGGGAGGTGACTGACCCACGAAGACATCATGTCTAGCACCGCACCGCCCGCAGGGATTCTTTCTCTTTGCATTCCCGAGCGCACGAGGATGATGTTGAGGCGTGTTGAGGGGGAGGGACGGGGACAACGGACATGGAAAGGTTGAGGGGGGTGAACACAGCGTAGTACGTTACGGGCGGGCCCGTCATAAGGCCGGACTTGTGCTTCCGCAGCAAGGATTTTCTTTGTCTTCCGTGCGTGTATGCATGCATGGCAGCTAGCTTATCCTAAACCGACGGGCGACGACTTCGGTCCTACTAATAGACGCGACAACCACCACCACCACCACCACCACCACCACCACCACCAACAACAACAACAACAACAACAACAACAACAACAACACCAACAACCAACAACAAGGACAACAAGGACAACAACAACAACAACAAGGACAACAAGGACAACAACAACAACAACACCACCACCACCAACAACAACAACGGCATCAACAACAACAACAACAGCAGCAACCAACAATAACAACAACAACAACAGCAACAGCAACAACAACAACAACAATAACAGCAACAGCAACGGCAGCAGCAGCACGAAGCACCAACTTGAATTCAATGCCCCTTGGTCCCCACCCCCGCACATTCGGTTCCTGCCGACCTGAGGTGCTCCGCACCAGCCCACGCGTCACGATTTTCTGCCTACCTCTGATGTAGCAACCCATCCACAACTCACGAACAAAGTCCGCCGGTCCACCCCGATCGATCGAGCTATCTACTTTGATCTAGGGCACGAGCCGCAATCTCGTGGAAAGACTTGCGTTGACCAAGGCAGCATACATCCCCGCTGTAAGCATCAACATATTTTCTACTCACAGCCTCTGGTGCTGTTATCATGTGTAAACACAGGCAGGTTTAGTCTGAAACCCATTACAAGGCCGCACGAGTAATCGTTTGAACTATGGGAAGCCCAAACCAAACCACAAGACTAGTTTAAAAAACAAGAATATTCCAATGGCTTGATTTAGGCTTCTAAAGGACGACGAGCAACACGAGGGAACTTGCGAGACTCGTATCTGTTCTACGTAGGTATACGAGAGCACGGCCTCGCTTACCCCAACTCCTCAACGGTCTTCAACTAAAGACTACGGCCGGCGTTTACGTGAGTACCGACCCCCCTCTCCCCGTAGCGGTCGTCGATCTCACCGGTACAGCTCCGTGAGGTGCTTGAGGAAGCCCTCGTCAACGTGGTAGCAGATGCGAGGGTAGCCGTAGAAGAGCCCGTCTGGACCGTCGTTCAGCTTCGTCCGCTCGCCGTCGTTGAGCACGAGCTTTGCACCTGTTGGCCCCAAGATCAAAAGCAAAGAAAAAAAAATGGTAGCATGCAGCAACATGCGCGGAGAAAGGTGTCGCAAGGGTGTGTTCATTTTGTGGGACACAAACGCCCACGTTCAAGTAGACTTCGGAGGGTCTTCGGGTTTTATGTAAATATGTTGGATACAGTATACAATCGGGGAAGTTGTAATATGTAAACATGTTGGATACTGTATGCAATCGGGGAAGTTGTATGATGTAAACAGTTGGATACAGGATACCATCGGGGAAGTTGTAGTATGTAAAAATGTTGGATACAGCATACAATCGGGGAGTTTGGGTTACGGAATAGCGTCGGCGTTCCCCCTTCCCTGTTATTTATCTTCAAATAAAGTTATTGATCGTGCGAAGGCGGCCCACGCCCACCAAGAACACGAACAGCTACACGTACACGTGCTGAGGTACTTTCAAGGTTACATTGGTGGTGGTGTGCGCTCGAGCGATCTGGGAGCCGAGGCCGAGACATAGAGCTTGATGACACTTGATCGAGGCGTGGTCTGGGCTTTGGGGGTGCGCGGAATGCCGCTGTGCCTACACAGACGAAGCGACCTCTTGGGGGACTCGCGGTCAATCGAACAGAGCCAACGCCGACACTACCACGGTTGGCGACGAAAAAAATGTGATCTTATCTCGCCGCCCCTCGCAATACATACAAGTTCGCGAGACTTCGTCTTGACAGGGTACCGCACGTACTTGTGTTTTCGTAGTTGCCAGATGTCAATCGGCGTGACAATGATGATATCGTTGTCGTCCTCGTCGTCTGTTTTTTAGAAAACATGAATGATATCACAGAAAAGACTACCCAGTTCGACATATAGAAGTATAACGACACACAGCAGTCGAAAGGCTGTTTGTTGATGGATCCAACTCGGTTGACTGATCTGTCATGTCTCGGTGGTGGGCTTGAACGGAGTATTTTACGCCTCGGTATTCTGCTGGAACGTTTGCTCGAGAAGACGGGACACGTTAGCGCGTCATGTCAACGACGCGCACAGGCGCGCTCAAGTTGAGAGCCGACGCAGCGTCAAAAGAAGACCCGGTTTACTACGAACGAACTCTGCTCAATGGCGGCGTGTTTGATTGCGTTTTGTACCATGATGGCGGGTGGCGGGACTGTTGTGTTCTTGATGACTCATATTCACGAACGACTTCAAGCTTCAAGAACCGCCACCTTATCTCACAAATGCGCTGCTCCCTGCGGTAGCCCTCTGCAGACATGAGGAGAACCTCGAGTGTCCGCCATACTCCAACAGCTCGTACCTGGCGAAACACTCATGCTGAGCGACTCATGCCGGGAGGTAGCAGGTTGACCAAGTCTGCTGGGCAAACGTTGCTGAGTTCCGGTGATGATCACGTTTGGCGATGCAACGAAAGCAAGGGTGCCAGGCATCAAAGCTCCCGCAGCTACCGCTACTGCAAACATAGCTGGCACTGTGTAAGGCGCAGGGCGCTTCATGCTCTTGTCTTGCGGCAGTATCCTGAACCTTGAACAGGAACGGAATGACATGAAGTCAGATCGTCAGCACAGCGAAGCAGAAGACCACCGCTGGCGTCGGGGACGCCCACCCCCCGTGACCTGACGCTGAGTACACTCTGTGTGTGCCCCCTCCCTTGATCTAGACTGGGCACGCACGACACGCACACACGAAACAAAGCATGAGGACAGCATCGGTTTTGTGCGCCCTCTCGGGGGTTCCTGGCTCCTTGGCGTTTTTCTCACCTATGGCCTCCCCAAGCTTCACCCAGGTCTGTGTTATTGTCTGTGAATTCAATAAGCACCCGCTTTTGGTTAATTGCGCCGCTTTTTCGGGAGAGGTGATGTGGCCGTCATTCCCCTGGGCTTGCAATATCCAAGAGCTGGCGTCGTCATGCCCCGTACCACCCCCTTACCCCTCCCGGGTTGCAGCAGTTGATCCCGACAGGGTTTCTATGGTCTGGTTCCCTTATTTTCGGTTTGAATCCATGAACAGCAGCAGCAGTAGCTGAGGCGGTTGGGAGATCTTGCACATGATACTGCTGTACATCAGTACACCGGTAGTTGAGAGATCTTGACATGTTGCCCAGAAATTCGCACAACACGGCCAAGGAAAGAAGATGGGAGGCATCACGCAATGCCTGCAAAATCACCGAGGGAAGCCATAGGGCATCATGCGCCTCCGCAGATATCAATGCTTGGACCCTACACGGGATATTCGTCACGGCCGGTGAAACAAGGCTCGAACAATAACGAATTCGTAATTGCCCGCATTTTCACCGCCGCCGGCGGCCTGCTGGGCGCGGATATATCATAAGCCATAGAATCATGGGTACCATTTTGGCTCATCTGCAGCGATGTCTTTCAGTCGCTGTGTGTTATATATCGCAGCATTTCCCTCCCGAAAAATTTATGTCCGGAAGAGGTGCGCATTCACCGACAGATCTGGGCTGTACCAAACCTCGCCGCATCGAGAAATTTTTCCCCCAGTCCGAATCTGATCGCACTGCCACCCGTTGTGATGCATTGATCGGGCCCATGCGCGTGTACCTGCGGGCAGCAGCCTCGGGGAAGCGGGGGACTCGCAGCGCGCCCGACCTCGATTGCGGCTGCCGTGGTGATGTCGCACGACGGTAAGATGTTTGGGACATGCTGTCTCTGAGGACGAAGCAGGCCTTGTCGCGTGTCCTACGCCCACGCAGGTGCCAAATACAAATTCAGAGGCCGAATCCATGTCACCATTGTGTTAATCTTGCTTATTTGCATCGACCGCGCTAACCAGATGATCAAGGAAAAGACGTTAGTGTCAGTATATGTTTTTGTGTTTCCTTCATTCGCATTGACCCGGGAAACCGGCTGACCAATGCAAGACTTTAGTCCTGTGTGTGTTGCTATTAGCATCGGCCACGCTAACCGGCGGACCCATGAAAGCACGTGATTCTCAATGCAGCTGAAACAGAGACTTGTTCCTAAGACCATGATCTGGTTACCCCGTGAGGGGGCGTCGTGGGGGCAAACTAGGTTTTTCTCCGGATGTGTGTGTGTGTGTTCGTGTGCTAAGCGCCAAGGAAAGGAGTAGAAGCGCCACTCACGAAGCCAGCGCGGTAGTACTGCGATCCGACAATGCTGCTCCTTCAGGAATTTGTTTGGATGTCTAAAGAATGAAAGTACGCCCCAATGCTGTCCTCGTCGATTTCTAGCCTTGACTTCCAGAGTGAAACTCACTTCCGAAGGCAACGAGCTGGAGATCATTCGGGCGGGCGAGCACGCCGGTCAAGGTTTATGTCAAAGCAGCGTTTACCGCCGGGGGTGACTCATGCTATTGATGGTGGACATTTACTTCATAATTGATTGAATTCGTGGGGAGTACCAACAGACAAAAGGACTCCCGCCCCCCCCCAAAAATGAGCTCTTCCTTGCTGTCCCCTCGTTCTTGTCACGCACTCACACCCGCCTTGTACCTCCCTGGCTTGGAAAAAAACACTCACAGGTGAGGGCTTGCCTATTTCCCGGCGATCTCTTGTGGAACGGGTTTCCGCGACGCTAGCGGCGTCGGCTGCTCTCATCACGGCGCAACCCTCGCCTGCGGCGGCGAAGCCAGAGCGCATCAAGGGCGGAGGGCCGCTGGTGACACTGGAGGATGGCGCCAGCTATCGGGAGATGACGATCGGCGATGGGCCTTCGCCCAAGGACGGCGACAGAGTGGCCGTGCACTACTCCCTGTTTTACAAAGGTGACTCTGAGCCGGCGTTTTATTTTGTCCGGTGCTCCGTCTTCCAGTGAGACAAAAGTAGTCCAGGCAAATGCTCAGTACAGGTATGGATGAGCATCAGAGCTTCCCGCACTTGGTCGAGGTTGCTTCGGCGTGTCAGATCAAGCTTGGGCCGCTCGAATGTATGGTGGAGGTGAACCTAGCGGTGTGCTCACACACCCGTAGTGCAGATACAGCAGAGAGTGAGTGCTAAGATTGCTGCGGCATGCTGCTGTCTAGATCAAGGATTGGCTGCTGGATTGGTCCGTAGAGGTGGGCCTGGTTGGTGTGGGCACCCACCCGAGAGGGATCGCTCACAAACTGGAATTCTTTTGTGCTGGAACAACTGTTTTTCTCGGCTGCCCCTGTTTGTGGGCGGAGGAACCAACAACTGAAATGTTGTTCTGAGAAAATACGGGACTCGTGTTTTTTTTGTGGAGAACGCCCTGCCGACGCATCTCGGTTGGTCTCCAACTCGATATTTGGCTACAGTTTGTTGGCTTTCAACGTCTTGTGGGACGCGCTCCCCCAGAAACCAGCAGGCGCTGCTGGCTCAGTTCTATCTTTCTGCGGGTGTCGTGTTGCACGCCTTAACCGTGCTCTGCTCCGACAACATGGCAATGTCTACAACCACCCGTCCCGGAATCGTAGGGATGCGAGGTCTAACGAATACGGCATGCATTTACGTGTAACCCCCCCCCCCCCACTTCTTATATCCCTTGAAGGCCTCGAAGTGGAAAGCTCAAGGGATAGCCAGGGGTTGGCGGCGAGACCCCTGGGTTACACGGTGGGGACTGTGAACGGTCCGGGCAGCGTGCCCCCGGGGCTGGACGAGATCGTCAAGGGGATGCGTGTGGTGAGGAAGCCTTAGCGACCGATGTTTTACGCAGGCATCGTGTTCAAGCTCCGCTGAGAAGGGAGGCGTTTTCAACGACGACCGTGTGCTACCGCAGGTGTAGCCCTTCACGGGGCGTCTCCCGCTCGATCAACACCTAAGTGTCTTTCGTGCCGTCAGCGGAAACGTAGAGTGCTGTCGCCAAAAACGTCCGAGCGATCACGCATACCCCAGACCGACTCGAACACCCCGCCAACCGAGCGGCTGCCAATATGCCGAACATGGGTTGCGCGGGAAGTATCTATTTCGCCGAGGGCTGTCCGTCCTTGCGGGCATCAGTCCGTTGTCGCACCCTCTCGGCTGTGTGCACACGCCCGCATCTCTTTGCCCATACCGCCGCCCCTCCCCACCCTTCCCATTTGTTTGCAACTAATAATCCGCGGTCCGTGCCCGGCGTCGTGTTGGTGTGGTTTGATTGGTCCTCTTCTGTGCCAGGGCGGACGGCGCAAGATGACTCTCCCGCCGCAGCTCGCCTTCGGCAAGGAAGGGAGGCCGCCGTTTATCCCACCGGACGCCACCGTCGAGTAAGCTTGCGGGCGTTCGTGTTTTTTTTTCTTCTTGTGGTTGGAAGAGACGTGCCTGCCGCGCGTGGAGCAAGGATTCGTAATCAACAACCGGCTGGTTTTGTATCTGGGGGAAGGGGGACCAGAGGGGGTGGCTGTTCCCGCCGATGTTGATGAGTTTCTCCAGTTTTTTTTTTTTCGCTTTCGGCAATCCGATTGCTGGGCAGAGATACGCTGGTCAACGTAGTTACCCTTAGACAGTGCAGCCTCCTCGTGTGCTCAGTGTGAAGTGCGCTTGCACAGTTAGATTTAAATCGGGACGAGGACACTCCATGGCCCTACGACCCCTCCACCACTCCCCCCCCCCCCCC